TATGACCTCTGGGATGTTAGCTGATGGTAGAAGTTTCATCTGGAAGATAAAGAATTGCATTGGACAATACCTCTAATTTTGCTTCATATCAGAGGATTCCAAATCGTGCATGCTTGGCAGAGCCTGTTCTCACCCGGATTATGAAAACCAGCACCATCATCAGCCTTGCTAGTGTGTCGGAGTGTCTTCTATATACTTTCAATGGAAATGGTTTTCTGTGTATCTGATGATAACTTTATGGCAAGAAGACTCCAAAGATTTTTTTAACTGGAGGGATCGGTCATCTGTAATTTTCAGGATTCAAACTGGGCAATAGCAAAAGAAATACGACCCCCAAAATGGTAAGTTAATAGCATTGGACGTGTCTTTTGTTCAAAGGAATGTCATATCTATCTAATATATCAACAGGCATAATGTACAGAGTAGAGTCACATTGCTGGAGCAGATTTATTAGGGAAGCATGGTGACACATTTTACATTGTAGCTCTTTTAATTAGTTAATATTATGGTCAGAATGCTCAGCAATGGCATCATGGTCATGGATGGATGGATGGTGATAAGAAGGATCAGCTTGGTATATCCCTTTGACTCTGATGTTGACATCTTGGTAGCAGCATTCCCATTTCATCTATGTGCTACATCCTTTACTGATTAAACTACATTTTATTTCTATGTAAAAGAGACAAGAGAAATACAAGTAGGGATGGGATAACACATCCCTTAAGCTAGGAGCTGCTATGGGCAGATGGAGGTTTTAGAGAGGTGTCCCAGCCTACCATTGTTTACTCATGACTAAAAAAAGACAGTTTTGGTAGTACTCAAGCTTAGATGTCAATATCTAATGTAGAGCATTGGAATGCATTGGTCAACTTGACAATAACCTTTTGACTAATTTATCCATTTGACAGCAGGGTTAAATAAGTAGGACTGTGCTCAGGTGAACATTCCTACTGCTCTGCTACAATGTTCATCTACTTTCTCACAACACTGGGGACTTGAAAAGGAGCATTGTGGTCAGGAAGCCATTAACCAAGCAGGATAATTATGCAGTGTGGTATAGTTCTTAGAAATCATATGTCGCATGATTCCTGCACTTCTAGGTCCATATGCAGATTTCCTAAGACATACCTGCCAATAATTTCTTTCCAGTAGAAATAAAGTAAAATTGGTATTATCCTAAAGCACCTCTGCATGATAAACCTGATCATGGAAATGACTAGAAAATAGCTTTGAGGTGTAGATTCTCCAACACAAGATGTTCTTCTTGAACACATTTTGTCTCTAATGGGAACATTAGTTTTCAGGTGCAGAAAAACATTATTGTTAAGTGACCTCAAACCATCTGTGTTCATGCAAGATAGAGCAAAATTCTTTCAGGGTTATAAAATATACAACACTATACCTCTGTACAAGGATACTTTGCTCGAAAGTTTATTCAAGTGGCTAGAAGGTATTGTACTAGAACAAACACACACATAGCATCCATCTCTCACTATCATGAGCCTTGAACCTCTGTGCATGCACAGGTTTGGGAAATATCATCTCCATCCAATTTAAAAGTTTTAAATATTCCCTGTTTTCGTGGGCCTGAAGCAATATCTTAAGATTTCCCTTTGGGAACAATGGATAGTCTGGGCATCAGTAAAGACAACAAAATATTTTTTTCCCATGGGATTTTGATATGATTATATTTGTATCAAAATACAAACAAGCAGAGGCTCTAGGTCTCCTATTATTGGTATCTGGTGTTGTAAAAGACCATCTTATTGATCAAGCTACATTGCGTCTGTTAGGCTTCCCATAAAGCCTCCCCATAAAGAAGGGACTTTAAATTTTTTTTTTTTCTTTAAATGATCAGCAGAAAACAAGCAACGTGCTTTGGGGGCTCAGACAATTCCACTTCATCAGGGATTGTGTTAGGTATAATCTCCAAATGTGACTGGACTGAAAAGCAGCAATAGTTGTATAGTATGTAACAAACATGCAACACATTTCTGCTACTGGTAGCCGTTGCAGTGTAAGTCTGTGTACACTAAAGGTACACTATTGTTTAACAGAAATAAACTATGCAATGTGTTGGCCTTTCTACTGTTTAATTAGGAAAACATCATTTTGGACTCTTAGACCTTAGGTGTGGTGATTCTTCTGTTTCCTCTGTATATGGGTCAAGCCTGAGAATATATATAATCTGTATGCAGTGCGAACAGGTATTGAGTGGGTTAGAATTTTCTATCTGATGTTCATTAGCTGAGATGAACAGACTCAACCCTGAGCTCCACAATACGTCATCAAAGAATATAATGGTGGTATTCCCCAACAGGTCTCATCCAAGTCGATGATTGTCTCTACATTCCAATCCTTCTGTGACTGGCCAGATGAGCTATATCAGAATTTACTAAAAGCCACAATATCATTTTATGCTTACACCTTCCTTCTGTCAGATCATGAATAAAAGTCTCAATGTGAAATTTAGCATTATGGTTATTATAATGGTGAAAATTAGATAAATGGTCAAATTATATAGTTATAAAATATACATTTAACTGTTCATAGGTGTATTTCATGTAAAGGAATAGTTAAAGGGTAACTCCACATGTGTGGGAAAAAATTAGCACGTGAAAAAAATAGATATATCATGTACAATTGCAACACAAGTCATATTCTAAATGAATGTTATTAAAAATTACCTTTCCCTTTCAATCTGCAGTGCTGCAATTCTCTGTAAAGTGCATGAAATATGGCTATCTGGATGTATTCTGTACACAGATTGTGTACAGATCGCCCCTCCAGAAATGTCATTTCCTGCTTGTGTGACTGGCTTACTGATTTTCCCAGAAGTCTGCACTAACATACAAGTCAGATTTTGGGCATCCTCTGCAAAACCATGTAATTTTTGGTGAGATACTCCCAAAGGAAAATCACGTCTTATGCAAGCCATACATGGGTCATATTCCAAATGAATTTTCATTTGAAAATCATAATTATGAATTCTCATTTGTATTTTACAATGGCTGATTTTCATGCAGCCATCAAACGAATGAATTTCAAACGAATTTCTAATCAATGATGGGAGAATCATGTGAGAAATATAATCAAAAAAGAAATGCAAATGAGCCGTGACCTGGAAAGAAAAGAAGATTCCCAGCCATGAAATTTCTTTTCTGTAACAACATGAAGTGAAACTGAAGGCTTGGCTGGTCAAATTTTGAAATCAATGGTGGCACCATTGGATTACAAAATCCACAAAATTTCTTATTTTCGAAAAAAAAAAAATTAATTCGGAATTCAACCCATGTATGGCCAGCTTAAAGGGTTGTTGACCATGCCAATTTACTCAGAGTCCTGCAGGTGTAGCAGCTGACCGATATATAAAACTACTCCCATACAGATTCACTCTGCACATGGGCACAGACAAACAAACAGGCATTTCTTCAGAATTACAGAAGGTAGGAATCTGAAACAAAGTTTGTTAAAATCCCTACAATGTATATAGATCACCCAGAAGGAAATATTTTTTTTTTCTCAACAAAAGTGGAGTTACTCTTTAAAGATAATATGACTGTCCTATTTGCATGCCTTACCTTTAGCAACCAACTTTCAATTAAGCCTTGATATGCTGACTTGTATTCAGGTGCTGACTTACACATAGACTTACACCACCTAAGATAAGAAGTCACACTAATTGTAGGGAAAGTGCCAAACCAGGCAATCCACAAGCTGAGAAATCAGGGTCAGGCCTAAAGCCAGGATCAGGGAAATAATTCATAAACAAATTCAAGTCCAGATGAGCAGTAAGAAATAGGACTCATTCACACGGGCAGGACCAACACTGAATTTAGATGCTCACAGTGTACAGTTTTGTGTGCATGTAAATGGAGCACTATAGTAATCAATGAACCCATACATACAGCTGCATTTACAATGCATTTAGCTGGGCATGAAAAAAGTATTACACAGGGCTGCACAGATCTGCAGAGTTTATGTGCATACTTGTGTACATGTGTAGCTATTCATTGGAATGAAATAACAATTTTGTACATCTAAACACAACTAAAAGTGAGTACTTTTGGTGCCTAATTTATGCAGGCTCTTCTGCTAGCACTGCCAGAAAGAACCTTGCAAAAATACAAATATGCTCATGTGAATGATGGACAGGAGTCAGCAACAAGTAGCTGAAAGAGATATTACATCCATCCACTGGACTGTACTAGATCATGGGCAATGACGCCTCTCAGTGACTGCCTGAAATAAAGAGTGGAAACCTTTAGATCCGGTTCACATACACTATATATGTGAATTGGATGTGTTTTGAACTGCACCCACCTAGTTCACATGACATATGAAATATCATTGGTTTCTATTGTGCCTGTTCACATCTATGCAGTGCAAACGCTGTGTGGATACAGTGTGAATTGAAAGAGTCCTGCCAGTTTTTTGAGCAGTGTGGTCTGGCTCAGATGCAAATTCAGTCTCTTTGATTTCTAGGGGAACCCTTCTGAATCGTACATGTCATCAGTTGTAAACAGGATAAAATCCTGACCTGATCCGGATCTAAACCTGACATGAACCGCTGAACAACTACTTTGTCAATTAGCTGTGAAAACAGAGCTTCAATTCTCAATGCACCTGTGTGAATCCACACTTAAGGAGCAGGCGTTGCTGTTCTGTTGCACATGTGATACATGCAGTATCTGAGTATATGTACTTGGGAACGGAAGCACAAATCATAGACACACATTTGTACTTATGTCCAGAGAAGTAAAGGCCTTAGGGTTCAGTACGGCCAATAGAGTTGTACACAATTAAGACTACACTTGGTGAATAATCGGTGTTTAAACAGCTTTCACCAAAAATGTCATCTTTGCTCTGGAATGTTTCAAGAAACGCAGCAGTTAATTCATATGAATTATTATACGACACATTTCATGATGTAGGTACATTCCTGTCTATTTTTGCCAACCTAAATGACTTGTGTAAATGTTCTATGTATTTTCTTCCAGTATGGATTCATTAACACCTGCCTGAAGTCATTGGTGATTGAGAAATATGGTGAAGAGACATGGGACTTATTAAGGTGATTGTGTGTGACCAATGTATTGTACACTGCACATTACATGACTGTAACTCGCTGAATGCAAAGAGTAACCCATAGCAAACAACCAGAATCTCCTTTCCACTGATCTGAGATCAGGAAACTGAAATTTGATTTGGTATGTGATACTAACTAGATGCACAATCCTACAATCATTGCTCATTGTATTGCACTATTAAATAAGCCTGTAACAACCAGCTTATAAACTAAGAATTACATTATTGAGGATCTCCAGGTCAGTTTTTTTTAGTTTTATTTGGCGTGAGGAAAGGTTCACAGTGTGTCCAGGGCTTTTTTCCTCAGAGAATCGGTGTAGGTACCCTTTTCCACCCCTTACCCATCTCCCAGCACTGTTCATTGCCTATTTTGTGGTGCTAAGTAATTTGCATGGAGTTTGTTAATGATAACAAGAAAAGCATAAAAATAGATCCCCTACAGCCAGAAACAATAGACACCACACCCAAACAAAAATAGATCTGCCCAACAACAATAGATCCAATGCTCAATCATTCAATCTCTGTCAGCAACAACTGATCCTCCCAGCATCAAAGGACCCCAGCAACAATATAACCCCCACCAACAATAGATCCCCCAACAATAGACCTCCCCAGCAACAGTAGACCCTCCATCACACTCCACCACCCCTTTCCATTACACACATTCAGTGCTGGAGGTGCCGGAGTTGCGTTCACCCGCATTTCTTCTGAAATAAAGCCCTGTGTATGTCAAGTTTTTATTGCTGTCTGTGTCTCCGTTAAGGAGATTTCCCATCACTTCTGTTCTGGTGACTGTCAGAGCATTGCAGTAATCTGAGCATCCTCTTTCCCTCTGGAGTGCATTATCTATACTGTATATTTCTATGGATGATCCACTACAGACCAGCTACTCTGTCACCTGCCTCTCTGGATTCTTCAGATAAACGTATGTAAAATAACTCCAGAGACGTAAAACATGAGGTTCGGTTCGGTTCATTGCTCTTATTTCTCAGTGCAAGTATATAGGTTGAATCTGACCTGACTGTCAGTCTATATAAAGGAAAATTAAAGTGAAATTCTAACTAATCTTAAAACTGCCCTTCTCTTAACACCTTTGCTTACTAACCTGTGAAAGAAAGGTGTATATAATCACTTATTATCAGGCCACTCTGATACAGTCATGTGATCCAGCTTCCCTATTTCAGGCATACAGTAGCTGCTGCAGGGATCCAGTGGAGAGCGCCGACAATGGATGGGCCAATGAAGCCTTTCAGTGATGTCACACTTCCAGGCATTACCAGTGCTCTCTCCTCTCCCTTGCAGTTGGCGCTGGATGACAAATGGGAGATCACATGATCAAACCGGAATGACCTGAAAATAGGTAAGTATTCCTACACAGGTTAGTAAGCATAGGGGTTAGGAGGGGGAGGGGATAGTTTTAGTATTTAGGGTTATCCTGGAATTCTGCTTTAAAGGATAAGTTCACCTTTGGGAACAGGTTACATGCTCCACCCATTTTTAGGGTGGAATATGTAACATATTCCCAATGCTGCAGCCACCACTCGATACCCCCTCCATGACAGCAGCACGTTGAGAAGTTCCCTGTACAAGCTGTCACTTTTTGAATAGAGTGCGGCTGTGCGGGGCTCTGCCCACACGGTCCGCATCACTTATTCACACAGTTCTGTGAATGAATGAACTACAAGTCCCAACAGCCTTCTGTCGGCTTGTAGTTCTCAATGAACTACCATGGTGCTGTGGAGCTACATATGAAATACAATAACCAAAATGTAAAACTAGAGGTACATACAAATGTGTATCATAACAAACTTTACTTTTATGTAACACTACAGTTAAAGTTCTAGTTATGTATATCTGGCTATTAGATTTAATGGTACTGTTCACACTTCAACATTAGCATTGCCATACAGAAAAGCTAAAGTAAACAGGGTTGTTTATGTAAAAACTGCTTAAAGGTAGGGTTGCCACCTCATCCCTTTAAGACCGAACACATATTAATTACCCAGGTTCTGCAGTTGATTAATGTAGTAATTACATTCACCTAATGCCTTATCTGCATTAAGTTAGCCTTAAAACCCCTGTAATTAATATGTGTTCGGTTTTAAAGGGATGAGGTGGCAACCCTACTTGAAGGTGACCTTGCAAGAATGCATTCCACTCTGTTAACCACACAATGAATGCCACAAATACCTTCACATCTCATTTGGTTTAGAGTATGTTCAAATCACATATACATTAAACCACATGGCAAAAGGTGTTGGTCCTTACTCACCAGTCTATACATTAGTGTGAATAGGGCCCAAACCATATAGGCAAAGCAGTTCAAGTTCACATTATGGCAAATATATCAAAAGCATAACAACAGTTATCATTAGTATTCTCAAAACTATATCTATGTCTTTGTTCATTATATATCAAATATGACTCCTCCAAACATTTGTCAATGAGGTATGTATACTGAAAATGTTTTAGTAAAGGTGATCACAAGGGTATTTGGAAAATTGTTCACTGGTATATTGTGCCATAAACATTGGACAAGATCAGATTTGGAATATTGTACCACTAATATACCAGTGCTGTATATTTGGCAAATTGAGGACATATAGGGGAGGATTTACTAAAACTGGAGCCCAGAAAATCAGGCGCAGCTGTGCATGGTAACCAACCAGCTACTAGGTGTTATTGTCAAAGCTTCATAAAACAAGCTGAATTTAGAAGCTGATTGGATTCCATGAAAAGCTTTACCAGATTCTTTGGGTTCCAGTTTTAGTAAATCTCCCACATAGTGTCCTGTAGGTCATTACAAGTGACTTGTCACAATGAACTGTTACATAAATACACCAGTATTCCACTAAGGACATTTTTTGGAATATAAATTACAATCCATGCTTTCCTCGTGATCACCTTTATTAAAAATACATAATACAATTTGTTATACGTTTAAACAAATAATATAAAAATAAATAATACAATTTTCTTATATGTTTTAAACTATGTGTCCAGGAATAGAGAGATCATTATTATAGGATATCCTAAGCAGGGTAATTAACAATTATTGTATACATATCTATGAACAAACATATGGAAGTTTTGCAGCAAATAAATGACTCATGATCAGTGAGCTGTGAAATTATTGCGTTGATGCAGAAATATAGCTCATTATTGGATGAAAATAGAGCATTTGTACAGATTATGTGTGTTTTATTGTCCCAGCAGAGTGTGTATAGCAGCAGTAGACAGAAGATTCTATGCCAGTATTTTGTAACCAATTAAACATATTCTTAAGGTGACCATGCACAAAATTGTCCTTATTTCAATATTATTTAGAAATATAAATAGTGTAACATATAACAGTCATATCACTAAATGTATTAAAGTTGTAATACTGTTCTCTAGTTTATATATCTATGGAGGTTTTTACTTTGTCTTAATACAGGCATGAGCTTTACTCTTGCTTATCTCATCTGTCACCTTTACCATTTGTAAATGTTTTGGGTGTGGAGCTCATAGAGTGGCACACCCTACAAATTAACCCTGTAAGTTATGCTTTGTATTTATAAAATGTTATCATAGCAAATTCGACCATTGAAAGTACATGTACATTTGTTCTGTGCCAATGGGAAAACATTTTTTATTAGGCTATTTCCTGTGCTGATCGAATATTTTTCATTGATTTATCTCTTCTACTGTCACCACCGTAAATCTTTACTGCAGCTGCCCTCCATAAACAAACTATCATCTTTCTAATGAAAGCGATCTGGCGGCTGCATGGCCGCCCAGTCATTTTCTCTGACCCCTGGAGTGGATCTGTACTCCATTAGCTTCACCGGAAGGCAGGTGAGATTAAAAAGAAGCTATCACAAAGAATTGATATAAATGTGTGATATAAATAAAGTTTTGGTGAAAGCAAAAAAAGATGAATAAATAAAAATAACACATCCATGCACTTAAAGCCCCCCAAAAATGTTAGCTCGCCCCTTCCCCATGTATGGGCACATATGAACATAAATGCAACAATCAGGGACCCCTGCAAAAAAAAAACCCCATCACTTTAGATACATGAATTACACATTGCCACACACGCCAAAGTAAGAAGAATAATTCTAGCTTATTATACATAGTTAACTTTAAAGTGTGTATCTGTAAGGGCTTTTAAAAACTCACCTATGGAAAATATGCTGAAGTTTAGCTCCATTTTGTGAGTGTGCACAATTTTAAAGCTTGACATGTTGGGTATCTGTTTCCTCTGCACAACTTAATCTATTATATTTCACCAAAAGTTGGGTAATTTATTGTTTTTATTTGTCTTTATTTGTGTGCCCTAAAATTAACTTAAGTGCCACTATGTAAATATTACGTGACATATAAAATTAGAACTACCACTATTTTATTCTGAATGTTATTATGTTTGTTTTCAGAAAATAAATGTTTGGGGGTTATAACTAATCTTCAGGCCTAAAATGATTTTTAAAAAATGTAAAAATGGCCCTGGCAGGAGTTCATACTGGAAATACTGCATTTGGCCACTAGATGGTGCTAAATATTATAGGAATTGTGATACTTAGTGCCATCCAGTGGCCAAATGCAGTATGTGCCTCTGCACAGATAGAGGCACTGGAAACCACTCCAACTCCCAGTGACGAGGTGCATGCTAGGACTAGCTGAGTACGAATTGTAAAAGAGAGGATTGTACATGTAGGCAATGGTCATAAGGGCTGCCTGAAAATGTATTCATTTTGGAGTACGTTATCAGAAACTTTTGGCCAGCAGGTAAACACACACCTTAAGTACATGACCCCACACTGTCCTGTTTCAGCTTTAGGCCTTGTTCATACAGGGTGTATGAATCCGTACTCCTGGGTGTTTTTAGATCCATTCACTTGCACAGATGTCACATTGGGAGCAGAGGCTGTGTCCATGCACTCACTGTGTCCCAATTGACAGCAATGGAACTGCTTGCACAGGGGTATACGGATTACCTGCACATGGACAGGGGCACCGATAAGGGTACAGGCCGTCCTCTCGTACTGGGCCTGAGCATTGGGTCAGCAGAGGGGCCCAACTGGGGCTGCTTGCTGCTCTGTCCTCTTCTTGGAGTTCATGCTGACCCCTGCACCCTGTGCAGAGTATCCTGGACCCGGAATCCAAGGGCACTAAGCAGCTTCTCTATGGCTACTGGAGGTAGTGGGCAGGACAGGGGTGTAGCCACCTCATTCGCTTCTCTCACAGCTGCTGATTATACTGGCTGATGTGGCAGCTGAAGATGTGCTGCTGCTGCTACATATTGCCCTACTCTATCCCTATGTACTACTCACTGACTGCTCTGCCAGTACATACTGCTCACTGACTGTCCTGCTGCTGCATACCACTCACTGAGTGCCCTACCCTGTTGCTATGTACTGCTCACTGACCGCCCTGCCACAACCTACTGTTTACTGACTGCCCTACCACTACATATTGTTTACTGACTGCCTTACCACTACATACTGTTCACTGACTGCCCTGTTACTACATGCTGTTTACTAACTGCCCTGCCACTACATACTGCTCACTGACAGCCGTACCACTACATACTGTTCACTGACTGCCCTGCTACTACATGCTGTTTACTAACTGCCCTGCCACTACATACTACTCACTGACTGCCCTGCCACTACATACTGCTCACTGACTGATCCTGCTGCTGCATACTACTCACTGACAGCCCTGCCACTACATACTGTTCACTGACTGTCCTGTCGCTACATACTGCTTACTGACTGACCCTGCTGCTGCATACTACTCACTGACAGCCCTGCCACTACATACTGCTCACTGACTGCCCTGCTACTACATACTGTCCACTGACTTCCCTGCTACTACATACTGTCCACTGACTGCCCTGCTACTACACATTGTCCACTGACTGCCCTGCTACTACATACTGCTCACTGACTGCCCTGCCACTACACACTGTCCACTGACTGCCCTGCCACTACACACTGCTCACTGACTGCCCTGCTACTACATACTGTCCACTGACTGCCCTGCTACTACATACTGTCCACTGACTGCCCTGCCACTACACACTGTCCACTGACTGCCCTGCCACTACATACTGCTCACTGACTGCCCTGCCACTATACACTGTCCACTGACTGCCCTGCCACTATATACTGCTCACTGACTGCCCTGCTACTACATACTGTCCACTGACTTCCCTGCTACTACACACTGTCCACTGACTGCCCTGCCACTACATACTGCTCACTGACTGACCCTGCCGCTATATACTGCTCACTGACTGACCCTGCCGCTATATACTGCCCTATCCTGCCATTATGTACTGCTCACTCACTTCCCTCATTTAAACAATACTCGCCCCCCCCCCCCCCCCCAGTATATCACAGATATCACTGCCTGGATGTATTTTGATGCCAAGGTGTATAAAAACACACCAAGGAAACAGTTCACATATACAGGTAGTAGTAGTCACATTCAACTAAATGTGTTCTACAATCCCAGTAGTGGCTAACTATTACTAGCCATTCCATGCCTAGGACAAATGAGAACCTTCATAGACCCAATTCACATACATGCAGTGTGCATTTACCTCCATTTTTTTGCTCTTAAAAAAAAAAAGAGGTATTCATTTGTGTGACATACAAGGAAGTCATCACTCACATTTTACCTCACAATTTAGTGGCAGTTCTAGTTCCACAAACGGAAGAAGTGAAATTTACCGAGCTTATTACAGGTAGCCAGCCGATTTTCTCTGGCTGCTCAGGAAATGAAGACAGCAATGTATCTGTACATATGAAAAATCGGTTTAATTATCAGCAGACTGCATGATGTTGCTGTAGCCCGGCTGGAGGTTTTCCGTTATGCGCTGGTACTAAGGCTGTTTACTGACAGGATTTATGTGTGTCCCTTCCACAGAATAAAAACTGGAGTTCAGGACACCTTCATGACGTACGAGGTTTACAAAGACGACATCACGTTGCAGTTGGTGGAAAAAGCCTGCCAGATGCTGGGTACGTGCATATACAAAACCCAATTTATTCACGTTATTTTCTATTAAATGGAGGTAATAGTTAAACAGTCTGACTGAATGACATTGGATGAAAGGGATGCCTTGATTAATATGTACCTCAGGGAAGCATATGATTACCTGCTTTGACAATATTTCAATCATGTATATACACAGTAGGAATAAATATACACCTAATCAGGGAACATGAGGGTGCCAAAACATTGCTGTATTCAATTTGTTTTTCTAATTTTTTTGGAAGAATGGAATGAAATGTAAATGTGTTAGCTGGCTGAAATGTAATTTAAGAGACATATGGCACTGAACCCCTTTTAATGTCTGAAGCAGGTCCAATGCTAGGACATTAACAGACATCTCCTCACATGTGGTCTCTCTTTTTAAAGGCTAAGTTTACCTTTTTGAGAAAATAGCCTATGCAGTCAAAGGGCCCCAGTACAAAAATGTGCAGCTTTGTAAACTGTTCATTAATCTTTGTGTCATACCCGTAAGCCATTTGGGGATTCCAGAAGCCCATCTGAAAAACTCCCATTTAGCAATTCCCAAGCCTTGTTATCTAGACTTCTGGGAGGGCTCAAATGACCTAGAGAGGTATGACATTAAAACGAATCAACATTATTTCCATGTTTTGTAACATCTACTGGGACCCTTTTTGCTGCATAGGCTATTTTCCGGAAAAGCTGAACTTAGTCTTTAACCCTAGGTTCACACCTAAGTGTTTTCCGCAGCGTTTTGCAGAAACGCATTACAGTCCATTTAACATGATTTCCTATGGAACATGTTCACATCTCTGCATTTTTTGGAAAGGGTCTGGGACTTCATTTAATGCAAAAAGTTGCGTTTTTGGCTCTATAAGCTTCAATGGAAAAGCTGCAGAAAAGCATGTAGTGCACTTTTGCTGTGTTTTTGATACGTTTTGCATTTTAACCCCTAGACGCCAAGCGCACACAAATATGCGGCCTCTTGGCGTCTGGGCCTTGACAGCGAGCAGCCGCATATTTGCATGCAATTACGCCTAGATTGTAAGCTCCAAGGAGCAGGGCCCTCTAATCCCTCGTGTATTGAACTGTATTGTTACTATACTGTCTCCCTCCATAATGTAAAGCGCTGAGCAAACTATCCTGTACAATAATAATAATAATTAGAAAATACATATGTGCTGAGAGCGCGCAGCCAGCACATATGTCCATGGCTCACGGAAAGGTCCCGATCTCCCCTTGCAATCGGGACCTTTTCCGATCATGTGACTGCCGATGCAGTGAATCATGGTGGTCACATGAAAACCCCGCCCCGCCTCCCGGCTTCTTAAACTCTTAAAGGGCCAGGAGGCACCAGCACAAAGGGGTTAAAATCTGCCAAGCAACAAAAAAAAAAAAAAAAAAACACAAAACGCATCTCAATCGCAGTTGCAAAAATGCAAAACGCAATGCAGACACAGGTCAAACTCACACCCCAGCCCTGCCTTCCGGCTTCTGAAACTCTTAAAGGGCCGGGAGATGCATGCGCAAAGGGGTTAAATCTGCCAAGCAACAAAAATAAATAAAGAACCACAAAACGCATCTCAAACGCAGGTGCAAAAATGCAAAACGCAATGCAAAATGAAATGCAGACACGGGTCAAACACAAACTGCATAAGTGTGAACCTAGCCTTAGACTAGGTTATGCAGGTGATTGCTGCTGCGGGACAGCACCTGTTTCCACAGCTGCAACCACCAGAAAAATGCAGATGATGTGTGTGGATGCCATTAATCCTAATGGTACACTGGAAATCATTCCCACACTGGAATCCCCACTGCACTTGCAGTTCCTGTGTGGGCTTTAATTTCTAAAATGCTGCAGGGACCTTTTTCCTGCAATTTGGAAGCTCAGCAGTCCATTCAAATGAATGGGCTAAAGTGCCCCTGCAAATCACAGCTCGCCTAACTATGAATGATAACTACTGAGTAAATGGCAGTTTGTTAAAAAACCTATATATTCCCCAGGATTATAAACACAAGGACATTTTAAACAACGTAGCTAAACTGGCATTGCAGGATTTGTTTGTTTTCCTTTAATGCCCATCTGAAATCACAGGAATAGATATGCAATCTCATATACATTGTACCAGCAACCTTTACATTCTTAGTGTTACCTCCAATTTCCCATTATAGTAGTTCTGCAGCGTGCCTAGCTACAGTCAGGTCCATAAATATTGGGACATCGACACAATTCTAACATTTTTGGCTCTATACACCACCACAATGGATTTGAAATGAAATGAACAAGATGTGCTTTAACTGCAGACTGTCAGCTTTAATTTGAGGGTAATTACATCCAAATCAGGTGAACAGTGTAGGAATTACAACAGTTTGCATATGTGCCTCCCACTTGTTAAGGGACCAAAAGTAATGGGACAATTGGCTTCTCAGCCGTTCCATGGCCAGGTGTGTGTTATTTCCTCATTATCCCAATTACAATGAGCAGATAAAAGGTCCAGAGTTCATTTCAAGTGTGCTATTTGCATTTGGAATCTGTTGCTGTCAACTCTCAAGATGAGATCCAAAGAGCTGTCACTATGAGTGAAGCAAGCCATCATTAGGCTGAAAAAACAAAACAAACCCATCAGAGAGATAGCAAAAACATTAGGCGTGGCCAAAACAACTGTTTGGAACATTCTTAAAAAGAAGGAACGCACCGGTGAGCTCAGCAACACCAAAAGACCCGGACGACCACGGAAAACAACTGTGGTGGATGACCGAAGAATTCTTTCCCTGGTGAAGAAAACACCCTTCACAACAGTTGGCCAGATCAAGAACACTCTCCAGGAGGTAGGTGTATGTGTGTCAAAGTCAATAATCAAGAGAAGACTTCACCAGAGTGAATACAGAAGGTTCACCACAAGATGTAAACCATTGGTGAGCCTCAAAAACAGGAAGGCCAGATTAGAGTTTGCCAAACGACATCTAAAAAAGCCTTCACAGTTCTGGAACAACATCCTATGGACAGATGAGACCAAGATCAACTTGTACCAGAGTGATGGGAAGAGAGAGTATGGAGAAGGAAAGGAACTGCTCATGATCCTAAGCATACCACCTCATCAGTGAAGCATGGTGGTGGTAGTGTCATGGCGTGGGCATGTATGGCTGCCAATGGAACTGGTTCTCTTGTATTTATTGATGATGTGACTGCTGACAAAAGCAGCAGGATGAATTCTGAAGTGTTTCAGGGAATATTATCTGCTCATATTCAGCCAAATGCTTCAGAACTCATTGGACGCCGCTTCACAGTGCAGATGGACAATGACCCAAAGCAGACTGCAAAAGCAACCAAAGAGTTTTTTAAGGGAGAGAAGTGGAATATTATGCAATGGCCAAGTCAATCACCTGACCTGAATCTGATTGAGCATGCATTTCACTTGCTGAAGACAAAACTGAAGGGAAAATGCCCCAAGAACAAGCAGGAACTGAAGACAGTTGCAGTAGAGGCCTGGCAGAGCATCACCAGGGATGAAACCCAGCGTCTGGTGATGTCTATGCATTCCAGACTTCAGGCTGTAATTGACTGCAAAGGATTTGCAACCAAGTATTAAAAAGTGAAAGTTTGATTTATGATTATTATTCTGTCCCATTACTTTTGGTTCCTTAATAAGTGGGAGGCACATATGCAAACTGTTGTTCTTCCTACACCGTTCACCTGATTTGGATGTAAATACCCTCAAATTAAAGCTGACAGTCTGCAGTTAAAGCACATCTTGTTCGTTTAATTTCAAATCCATTGTGGTAGTGTATAGAGCCAAAAATGTTAGAATTGTGTCGATGTCCCAATATTTATGGACCTGACTGTATGTTTGTAGAATCCAATAAACAACAGTTAGAACCCACTGCACTCTGTAATCAGCTCTCAGTAGCAGGTCTGGTTTGACATAACCCCTCTCCTCCTGCAATACAAGTCTGTTTGAAGCAGCTTGTACTGAGGGATGTAGCTCAGAGGCGATTCCAGGGGGCACATGAAGAGAGGCAGCACCAGGGGGGTGCTTGGGTATGCTATAGAACCCCCCAACAATACTGCTAACACCCACAAAACACCCTTATTTTATTGTGAAATCTTGGATTTTCCAGAGTCCTCTATTTATTGGTGCAGCACAAGTGTTATGTGTGTCCATGACGCAGGCACCAGGCTCACCTGCATTATGGAAACACATGACACTGATCCAGGGCGGGTGGCATCCAACACTGTCCCCAACATTCAGAAGAGGATGGAATTTCACATCTTTCCAGACCTGCCCCTCTTCCTGCCCTCTGACATGTTGCTTCTGCTGTACTGATTAGAAGATAGCACACTGATGTGAGGAGGCTCTGGAACTCTGATGTGAGAGGGGCTCTAAGGACCCTGATGTGAGGGAGCCATTGGCATGAGAGGGCTCTGAGCACACTGGTGTGGGGGGGGGGGGTCTTTGGTTACTTCAGTTCAGGGGAGTTCTGAGGACTTTGATGTAAGGGAGGCTGTAAATAAACTGATGTGAAAAGGGCTCTGAGGACACAGATATAAAGGGATCTGAGGACTCAGGTGTGAGGAGTCTTTGAGGACACTCGTGTGAGGAGGCTCTGAGGATACTGCTGTGAAGGGGTTCTGTGGAGAATTGATGTGAGGGGGCTCTGTGGACACTGATGTGAAGGGCCTCTGAGGACACGGATGTGAGGGGGCTTAGAGAACACAGATGTGAGGGGAGCTCTGAGGACACTGATGAGAGGAGGCTCTGAGGGGACTGCTGAGAGGGTGCTCTAAGGACACTAATGTGAGGGTGTTCTGAACTTCTGTAGTGAGGGGAGGTCTGAGGAATATGAAGGGGTTTGGGGGATCAGGAGACTCTGATATAAGGGATTTTTGGTTCTCATACATTACAATACATGCTTAAGCTGGTCCATTGCATCAAAGCAATTCCTCTCTGGCCAGTCCCTACCTTACTCTGTAAAGTACAAATTACAGCATATTTCAGTATAAGCATGTATACCATTGTACAGAGGGTTGATTCAGATTTTTTGGTATTCATGTGGTCACACCCCTTTAGCACCTGATGGAATATATACATATGTATCTATACAGTATATATATGTAAAGTTATATGGGTTTCAGCACAGACATACAATAACTTATTTTTATTGCAGCGCAGGTCAATGGCCAGACCTGAGTCTATAGTTTTCCTACAACTGTGTCTTATCTGTCCCATATTGATGCTATAAGTTCATCAATGTAAGCTATAGACAGGTAAGTAGTTTGCATTTTGTAGAGTAGAGTATGGACTGGCCAGGGCGGGATTTCTTTGACACAGTTGGCAAGCTTAAACATGTATTGCAATGTATGTGAACCATAAATCCCTCTTTTTATGTAAAGTGTGCTAGAAATGTGTAAGGGTGTATAGCAATGTGCAGAAGTTTCATTCAGATTTTTTGGTATTCGTGTGGACACACCCCTTTACCACCTGCTGGATTATATACTGCAAATGTGTAAAGCTATTTGGAATTGATCAGAGACATTTCTTATTTCTGATGTAAGGTAAGTTCTAAGGACTCTGGCGTAGGGGTCTCAATTATGTAAGTGGGGCTCTGAGGACACTGATGTGAGGGGAGTTCTAAGGACACTGATGTGAAGGGGCTCTGAGGACAATTATGTGAGTGGGGCTCTAAGGAAACTGGGGTGTGGGGGCCTCTGAGGACAATGATGTGAGAGGGGCACTGGGAACACTAATGTGAGGGGACATGGAGGATTGTGATGTTAAAGAGGCTCCTGATGTGAAAGACGGAAGCATAATGTGAAGAGGGCTCCTAATGTGAAGAGGGCTTCTGAAGTGAACGTTCACCAATTCATGGACACTGTGGAGACAAGGGAGAACAAGGTTGTGACACTCACAGCAATGCAATGTGAGCAATACTAAGATAACTGTCCAGAGTATGGAGTGAATGCACTATCACACAATATACAGTGCTGTGGGTTAGTGTATCAACCACTCATGTTATGAATATATTGTTAATAAAACATTACCAAGTTAGGCCTGCATGTTTTATTTGATTTTCTGGTAAAGTTATCTAAAATACTGGTGTGAGATATTTGGACAGAGGCACAATTACAGCGCTGGCCATAGGTGATGTTTTCCATAGATATGCCTCTGGTGTAGCTGATACTCAGCAATGTTAGTATAGAGCACTGCAGAGAAGCGGGAACAAGCATTTCACTGAGAGAAAAAGGTATTTTAAAGCATTTTCAAACACAGATCAGTACCAGATCATACAAAGCATGTTACAGAACCATAAAGAAATAAAAAGCCATGAGTTTTCCACTGGGCTTTTAATATTATTAGCTGGTACTGACTTCCAAACATTTCATTACAGGCTACAACCATTGGATGTCTTGAGTTCAGAAAGGTTTGATAAATAAATTCACTATGTCACATACACATTGTGATCCATACTTCTATGCATCTTTTTTCCTTGTTTTTTGCTTAACTTGAACCTTCTAAGCACAGACTGTTTGCCAAATTTGTCAAGCTGTAGCACTGAACAACGAGCCAGCCATCTGGGCTGATATGTCTTGGCTGCTTTCTTATGCCGGTCCAGCCTTGGATGCATATGGATGAGTAGTAAGATGAATGGCATCCAGAAGTCAGTGGGATATATTAGGCAGTGAGTAAACATGTTGTCCCTGAAGTTGATGTGTTGAAAGGGGAAAGATGAGAATTTCAGTTTGTTGCATATGGGACTGCATCACTGCAGACCAATTTGAGTGCCCATGATGACCCATGTACACAGCCTAAAGCGCCGCCAATGGGCACATGAGCATCAAAAGTGGACTATTGAACAATGGAAGAAGGAGGCCTAGTCTGATGAATCACATTTTCTGTTACATCATGTGATGTGAAGAAGGCAAGCTGGTGGAGGCAGTGTGATGCTTTGGGCAATGTTCTGATGGGAAACCTTGAGTCCTGCCATTCATGGACGTATCTTGACTTGTGCCACCTAACTACATTGTTGTTTACCAAGTACACCCCATCATGGAAACTGTATTCACTGATGGTAGTGGCCTCTGTCAGCAGGATAATGTGCCCTGTCCTCAGTTTTGTGATGTTAGAGGCGCTCCTGCTCTGCTCCACAAGTTTGACACTTTCAAGTTTCCTTCAGTTCACATTTAATTGCAACTTTGTTTCTCTCCTTTCCTCCAGACTGCTGATCCCTTTCTGCTCACTGCTGCAAACCTCTCTTTTCTTATACAACTTGACCCCCTCCCCCACCCCCACTGTCATCACCTGTTCCCTCTGTAAACCTATATATCACTGCTCAACTCTTTTTATTTAACTATTTATTTACTGATCTAGTTAATGTGTCCCATTTCCTATCACCTACAGCTCAAATCTCACAGTATTATAAGATTCCTATTTGTATCTCACCACTAGTCTGATTGCATTCACAATTCCTGGTCAGTCCCGTTCCCTTATCTATAATAACCTTTAGGGCTAGTTCACACTACATGCATTTCAGTTGCATTTTTTGTGCATCTAAAACCCACAGAAAGTAGATTATCTGGTTGTCAATGTCATAGTTCATATCAATGCTTGCAGTTCCAGTGCGTTCCAGTTGCAGAAAGAAAAGTAGAACAGGCTGCATTTTCTCTGCACAGAACTGTACTGGAATGCGGTAAAATGCATCAAAAAACACATCGGAATGCACCAAAATGCACTAGAATGCACATGTCCCTAATTAAATTGAAGAAAAAGAGAGGGGAAAAAAAATTAACTGGAATGCATAAAAAACACACTGGAATGCATCAAAAACGCATCAAAACCCATCGGAACATGCTCAAAAAACGCATAAAAAATGCATATGGAACACATCTAGACTGCGTTTCTATAGTGTGAATCGGCCCTTAGGACTTGTTCACACCATTTGTGGTGCAGAAACTCATTCATTTCCCTGCACAGCAAAGAAACGCAATGCCCTCTGCAGATGTGCGCAGGTACCATGAATACTTAATTGCACCTCCACACATCTTGTAAACACAGACGCATTCACAGCCACCAAACTCATGGTACCACACTATTGTGTGATTAGGTGCAACACACTTTTAAAATAATATGCCTTCAGTATTCTTGCATGTACCCACACGTTAGGCAGCCCATTGAAATTAACCGCTTGCCCTATAGAAGATATATTGCTACAGGGCGGCAGGGGTGCGCAAAATCATGCATATATACGTGATTTTGCATTTCTGGGTAGGGGGTGCGCCGCCATTCGCAGCCATGGCCCAGGTCCTGGCCCAGTGATTGCCGAGGAGCTGCAACGGGGAGGAGGGCTGCTTTGTTTACTAACAGTCCTCCTCCCTGTCGGCTCAGGCATACTGCTGTAGATGGCTGTGCACATCACAGCCATCCAGAGCAGTGTGCTTATAGTGAAGCACCAACACACCGCCCCCCAGTAAGACACTCCCAGCACAGTTAACCCTTTGATCGCCCCAGATGTTAACCCCTTCCTGCCCAGTGCCATTAGTACAGTGTCATTGCTTTTTTTTTACTGATCACTGTATTGGTGTCACTGGGGATGTCAGTGACACCAAGTCAGTTCCCCCCCAGTGTCAGAATGCCTGCCGCAGTCCCACTATATGTCGCTGATCGCCGCCATTATTAGTAAAAAGAAAAAAAAAATTCCAGAATCTATACCGCCATTTGTAAATGCTATAACTTTCACATATTTTTTAGCAAAGACATGTAGCAGAATACATTTTGGCCTAAATTTAAGAAGAAATTAGATTTTTTTTAATTTTTTTTACTGGACTTGTTTAATATCAAAAAGTAAAAAATGTTTTTTTCTCAAAATTGTCGGTCTTTTTTTATAGTGCAAAAAATAAAAACCGCACAGGCGATCAAACACCACTGAAAGAAAGCTCAATTTGTGGGGAAAAAAGGACATACATTTCATTTGGGTGCAGCATTGCATAACTGCGCAATTGTCAGTTAAAGTTAGTTAAAATTGTCAGTGCCGTAGCGCAAAAAATGGCCTGGTCAGGAAGGGGGGTAAATCCTCAGGAGGGCAAGTGAATAATGGGCTGAGGAAAAATTGTCAAAAATGCCCCATTCATACAGGTCCTCTGGCCTGTACAGCATGAATGAGTGGGTTGTTCATGTGGCTGGAGCCACCTGTTACACTATGGGGACACAGCAGCTGTATGAACACGGGTTTTAATATGACAGGTGTGCAGGTGTGGGGAAGTGGCCCTGAATGCTCACTGTCTGTGTGCAGGGCTGTACACCCGCACCCATATACCTGTAACATTAGGACCTGCAGCGTCTGCATAGTGTAACATAGATTGACTGCAAACAGCTCCAAGCAGCTCCAGCCACATAAACAAACCACCGATTCACACACTACAGGCCACAGCACCCATGTGAATGAGCCCCAAGACCTCAATTACACACACAGCTTTTTTTATTAACTCAGTACAGTTTTATCATGTAGATTTAACAGGAAGTTTGTTGGGATTGTGTCCATTAATAAAGTTTTTAGTGTATTTTTACCATAAATATAATTTTGATATTTTCTCTGGCGGTGGGGGGGGGGGGGGGGGGGGGGGGGGGGCCCTGTCGGGTAGGCTGTATCTATATGATATCTAAAAGTGGCCCTGACAGTGTATATATATATTACTGTATAGGGTATTCAGATATTTTCCATGTTACTTATAAATACATTTTTGCCATCTTCACCTGTACTTTTGCCACGTTATCCTGTAGTATGAAAAACTCTTAAGCTCTTGTTAAATCTATATCATCAATACTGCATGCTGACACACAATTTACTATTGTTCCCTAGATGTTTCTCCGGAGGCTGTACTGCAACAGTTTGGAGAGTATTTCTTTGAGTTCTGCAAAAGATCAGGATATGATCACATGCTGAGAACTCTGGGTGGAAATCTGTATGAATTTATTGCTAACCTGGATGCCTTACACAGCTATCTATCACTCTCCTACCAGGTGAGATATTATCAACGTCTGATACAAGCCAAAGATAGCAAGCCATGAAGAGCCAGGTCAAAGTCACAATTCCATAGACCCTTTTATATACAATTTATAGCCTTGTTTTCATGGTTTTCTTTTCCTCAGGGTATCAGACAAATAGACTGTATTTATGTGTGAATATATATAATATCTGTTGTACAGTATGTGTATTTAATATTGTAATAATGTTTTGCTTTCAATGCTATTTATTTAATACATTGAAAGTATGCTCATGAGGGAGCCCAACAGTAATTACTAGCATGAAAAATCACCTAATTCTATTCACCAGTACTGTAAAAGATCTGTCCTCTCTGCTACTCATCCCTATACCTGACCCCAATCTACCATCCAGCATCATCTCTCATAGGTGACTGCTACCATCATCATCCTTTTTTGTCATGTTCCTGTCATCACAAATTGATTGCTCTTCATTCTCATATTTGTTGATGTCATTTACGTAATTCTTGTTGCTTATATAATATTCTCCCTGATTGGCATTATTGATAAGCAAACTCCATTGGAAGTCAGACGGATCTAAAAATTGTAAATATTTTTTCATCCTTTTCAACTTATTAATGGAAGTCAGGTAAATGTACAGATTGCTTATGTTTTTTTCATCCACGTGAACATAGAAATGAAAGTTGGGTGAATCTACAAATTGCAAATACTTTCTTGTCTTCTTGAACATAGAAATGAAAGTTAGGTAAATGTATAATTTGCAAAAGTTTTCTGATTGTCTTGAATGTAGAAATGAAAGTCAAGTGAACTTACAAAGTGCAATTTTTTTTTATCCTCTGAAACATATAAATGAAACTCAAGTGAATCTACGAATTGCAAATGTTTTTTTTTTATCCTCTTGAACATATAAATATCTGCATAGGATTATACAATTTAAAGATCAGTATTGCCTGGGTTTCTATATTGCATGAGTCTCTAAGGTGAAAAAAAAACATCTTGAAAATATTCAGGAGAATCAAAATCTAACAAACCAGCTGTTCTCCTGATTTGAATATCCCTAATTTGGGACTATCCCTAATTTTATGCTATGCTGTCAGGGCTCCTGGGTATGACCAGAGATGTGTGACTGACGCAGGGAAACGCAGACTTCAGATATGTGATAAACAATATAATTTATTAACACTAACAATACAAACATAAACGCAGTGCAATACTAAAACATAATACAGTGCAAACAAACCAAACCAACCACCCACAGATAACAGTACATACAAGCAAGCGTCGTCAGGCAGGCCGGGTCAATATCAATAGGGCAGGTAGGTACAGGGGGAGCAAGCGGAGATTGGTCGGGGTCACAGGCCAGGTTCAGCAGCTAGCAAGCAGCGTAGTACAGAGGGTCAGGCAGAGGGATGGTCAGGGTCACAAGCCAGGGATCAGAACAGGTAGCAAGCAGCGTGGTACAGAGGGTCAGGCAGAGGGATGGTCAGGAGCGAGCCGGGATCAGAGCAGGAGAAGTCAGCAGCGGTTCAGATCAGGCAGGGTCAGCAAAGGAACAGAAACAGGATGCAGGACAGATACAGGGCCCAGGACAAACACAACACCAAGGCAGAGTCTGCAGGTCTGGCCATCCCTTAAATACACCACTATAATCAGTTCCAGGTGTTAGCTGGCTGAAAGGTTGAGTCTCTGATTGCTGGGAGCACCCGCTGGCCAGCCCTGGTACTGCAGATCAAAAGGCAGGTGAGTCCCACCATTGCTGGCCAGTCCATTCCTGACATATGCCATTTCTCATTCTGTCCAGCTATCTCCTATTCTGTCTGTCTTTAGGTGTTCCATGAAAGCTCCTCTCTTTGGGGAAGCCTATCCAGCCTTGTTCTAACACTGAACTTTTACTTTCTTCATCAACCCATCCCTTTACAGTGATTACCTTTTTGTATCACTTGCCCCTCTCTTTGGGATTGTAAAACTCACATGAGCAGGGCTCTTCTAACTGTCTTGTCTCGTTGTATTGTCTCCCTTTTATATTGTAAAGTGTTGCACAGACTATTGGCACTTTTAAATCCAGTATTATAAAAAAATAATGGCATTCTTAAAATTGGTATTGTGTATATGACTTATTTTACATGTGTGTATTTCCCTGCAGGCCATGAATGCTCCTTCCTTCAGGGTGGAGATGAATGATGATGGGTCAATGCATTTACACTATTATTCAGACAGAAGAGGCCTGTGCCATATTGTTCCAGGTAAGGTATTAAGACTAAACTCTTTCACTGTGAGTCTTTTTATGACATACGCATACAGTATTTACAGACATGCTTTGGAGTCCATTTACTCCTAGTTAGAGATGATCAGGAATCTTGATATACAATTTGTATTCCTGAGATACATATACCAAATGATAATCTCCAAACATAAATCCTACAATTATATTGACATAGTTGAATTATTTGTTGGCTTAAATCAAGAGCTAAAATGCACATGATGTAAAGTGCAAACATCTGCTCTCAAGAGGCTACAAGGAAATGTGATGTGGATTTCATAGCGTATGTATGAGGAAATATAATTTCCTACTTTCCTCTGTCCTTTAGGTATCATGGGTGCTGTAGCAATGGATTTTTTTAAAACAGAAATTTCTATGGAAATAATTAGTCAGTCAGATGAAGAAGAGAGAACTGGGAAAAAAGAACACATTGTTTTCCTTGTCACCCAGAGGTCAACTGTTCCACCAAAATGCAAGCAAAGTTCTCAACAGAAGAAACCGGTTTGTCCATTTTAAGTTTCAACATTTTTATTGGGCTTCTAATGTGGTTTGGGGCATGGGGACAGTTGGAAAAAAGGCTTTGATGGAGCCTTTCTGATATGCAAATGGACCCCTAAAATAAGTAGCACAGCTGCTATAAAAGAACTTTTAGATAATATAGATGATTTTGGAAAAGTGTGCATATATGGTCATACACCTGACTTTCATTTGACAATGTAAGCAATATTTTATTCATACTAAATGCAACCATTAGCTAAATAGAAAACCTAATGTCATGGGGTTTGGTAGACTCTCTGTGTTGCCAGGGGCAACAGCTGACAGGTCAGGTCAGATGCCATAGCAGTGTAAGTCCTCAGATGAATGATCAGAGCAAAAGCAGTAGCTGAATCGGCAGGCTAATGGTCAAGTGAAAGCAAACATAATCAAGGTTCCAGACAGGTACGTAAACAGAGCAATGGCAGATAACAGAATTATAACAGGCCAATGTCCAGGATAAGGCAGGCCATACATGATTCATTTGATTCAATGAGGAATTGATTCCCCCATCCACACATTTGAGGCAGATGTATTTTGACAACCATCCTGCCTTTAGATGGATCAAAATTTGTCCAGTCCCCTCCATCATCAAGAGATCCCCCCAACAACAATAGATCTCCCAGCAGCCAGCAACAATATTGACCCCCTCAACACTAGACCCCTCCTAGTAACAACGGGCTCTTCAGCAACAATAGACCCTCCCTTATCAAGAGATCCCCAGCATGAATAGATCTCCCAAAGCCAGCAACAATAGCCCCCCCCCCCCCAACAGTAGATCCCTCCTAGTAACAATCTCTTCTCTTCAGCAACAATAGATGCCTCCCTCATCAAGATATGCCTGCCAGCAACAATAGATCTCCAGCAGCCAGCAGCAATAGACCCTACTGAACCGGCTGAATTTCAAGCCATCTATAGCTGGCTTAAGCAGCACAGACAAGTAGAGTACAAACACAGTTCAAACAATACACTTGAATAATCAAAGGTCTAAACAATCAGACAAAAGTCAGGTTTTAAGTTGTGGCCTCACTTTTAAGGTCCTTTTAAATGGACGTGTTCCACTCCATTCAGCAGAGGATCTGTGAATTTTGTGGTTATTTTTTTATCACATATTTACAGAAGATGTTGGCTGACCCATGATGGCAATATGGGTGGCCAGATGTAAACAGACTTGTTTGGTTCACATCATGCTCTTGCTCATATTTACAAAGGATATGTGTGCGCTAGTTGATAAGAAGGAGTTTAGGCTGCTAACAATAGGAAAATATCTATAAATCCCATATAAATAAAAAATACAATTGCAGTGCCAATGAAATAAGTCTAAATAAACAATAAAATACTCTGTGTGAACAACCAGTGTCCAATAAAATCTAAAACAGCTTAACTAAAAATAGTCCAATGTATGATAATTTATTGATCTTGACACCTCAAAATGTAACCAAAAAACTTTTCATCAAGTAAAAAAAAGATCTTCTGATGTGGATCCCATCACTAGAGATACTGTAAGTGAAGTACACATTCACCAGAAGAAGACCCCCAAAATAGAGGTATATGCATTTTATAAACCCAGTGATTTGAATCTACACTGCAAACAGCTGCAACCACAATCTCCGCTGCCTGGAATCACATTCCTTTTTTAAATAGACAAATGCTCTAGTGCAGGGATGAGATCATCCAGTTCCACTCTGTGTGAGGAACTCCTCATGGTGTTCAGTAATGCTCTGTGTCCAGAATCATGGTTCGCTCCCAGCTGGTGATTACTGCTCTGGGTCTGGCAACATGAGCAGTGGAGAGTCTTTCTTCCATCCCTGGTTGGGCATGTTCTCAGGCTCAACCTGATAGTTTGGTGGCATCCTTGGCCTCCTCTCTCTCTGCTGCACCATCTCTCAGTAAGTCAGCATCTCGCAGAAAATACATTGAGCCCAAGCAGTGGTTTCCACCAACAGTTGGCTTCATCCTAGACTTGCAATCCAGGTCACTCATGCTGATGCTCTCAGTATTGAACCTTTAAGCTTGTGTCCAAGACATACTCCATAACAGATGCATGGGTATTTTGCCCAGATGCCAAGTAGCTTTAAAGGCAGTGCGGTCTTGCTTTTTCTCTTTACTCTCTCTTGCACCCAAAAGTGGCTCCTCCCCATTTGTGATGCCATATGTAACATAGCAGGGTGCATGGGTAATGGCATTAACCCTCTACCTTGGGGAAGACTGGCAAGTAAATTAATTCCTAAATTAGAGCCCACGACATTACCTTCAAATGGTGACTTTCACGCCCAGGGTTATTACCATGGGGGTAATGTTTGTGTATCCTAATCTATTCTGAACTCCTCTACAGATGCACCTTGTAACCCTTAAGGCCCCATAGCTCTTCTAAAGCCAAATACAGTAAATTACACTTCCAGGCAGAATAGTTCTGTAGCAATTAAAATACATCTGTTAGTATATTTTTATTGTAATGTAGGAAAAAACACAGGAAGCAGATGCTTTGAACAGTTGTTCTGTGCACATTATAAAATGCTTCAAATCACAACAAACAATTGAGCAATGTGGAGAACCTATCGCACCTGGGTCCATTCATTTTCTATTTGTGCTTCTGACCCATCACAAACAAGCTTCAGTGTAATTGCATTGTTTTCTTCATGGCAATAAAAGCAATCAGTTACACAATAGATTTCATTAGGCTGCATAGTTCATAAAAATCCATTACCAGACCAAATGACCTTAAACAGAGCCTTTAAATGGAAAAAGAAAAAACAGTATTATATTTAGTTCAATACAGATTACACCTCATGTATAAGGAGAAGTCAATGCAGTATAGAGTGCTCAACATTCTAGCTGCAAAAAAAAAGGATTTGGAAGAGAATGCAGCATTGGCTATGAACAAAGGAACAGTCAATGTTGGCAGGCTTCAGTGGGTTATTACATATACAGTATCTCACCACTGATTTTTTTTTTCAGTATTTGGTTCTGGGACTTGAAGTAAAATGGAGGAATGAGGCAAAATCATCATAATAAAAAAATGTGGCAGGCAGTACTGGAAAGATGCAGTGTAAAGAGATCAGCCATGCCTTCAAAACATAAAAAACTCTCTATTATTACCACCATGCTAGCAACAATTGTAACTACTACTTCCTACAGCTAATATACAAAAGCTAATAATGATAAATATCCTTAACATAAAAGGCAATGTGAATGCACAAGGTCATTACAGAGCTTCAGCAAGCAATCTGGAGCCTGCAAAAGTCATATCCACCTTATACACAATCTTATTGCTCAGATTATAAAAAAAACAGTGTTTACTTACTCCAGATGCTCTATGTTTGTGTCAGAAATCCTCACAAATGGACTCTTGATTTACAGCTGTAGATTATATCCATAAAACCACACAAGTGTATGTATGCTGTTCCCACCTATGATTTACAGATCTGAAGGTACAGATCCAGGTGATTGCTCCCAACCACTCAACCCAAACCTTCTTCCTCCTTAGCTAGTCCAGGCAAAAGGTATACAGGAGCTGCAAAGTAGTGTAAGACAGATGGAGCAGACTGAGACACAATGTAAAACAAAGTACAAGTTATAACTGCAAGTTTAAACACAAATAAAAAGCCTCATCCTAGGTTCTGTTCTCTCCCAACATGGGTTTCACCTTCTGGCTATCATTATATCATGAAGAGCCTTGCTAATGAGTTTGGGGCAACACAGTGGCTAAATGGTTAGCACTTCCACCTGGCAGTACTAGGGTTGTTGGTTCAAATCCCAACCATGCCACCACCTGCTTGGAGTTTGCATGTTCTCCCTGTGTCTGCGTGGGTTTCCTCTGGGTACTCCAGTTTCCTCCTACACTCCAAAGACATGCTGGTAGGTTAATTAGATCCTGTCTAAATTGGCCCTAGTATGGATATGTATGAATGTAAGTTAGGGGCCTTAGATTGTACACCCCTTGAGGGTTAGGGACTGATGTGAATGTACAATATATATATGTCAAGCACTGCGCAAATTGATGGCGCTATATAAGTACCTGAAATAAATAAATGGTCAACAACGGTAATACAGGGTCTAACTGTTGCACTAGCTTTGACTCCTGTCCCTATTAACAATCACTTTGATCACTATGTAAATATTTGTATGCACTTGCACCAATGCTTACCTAATGATGTTATTTAGAGCTAAATGGAAAGTATCCACTGATTTTCTTGACTAATAAGGCATGCCTGACTGGAGCCTTGAAACTCACCCTGGCCTATAAAATACACAGCGGTCAGACTGCTAGCCTATGCATGACGTCAGTGATCATGATATTAGGATTGTTAGGGATGTTACTAGTCAAAATGATTTACTGGGTAATATCCTACTTTACCCTTTTTCAATCACCTGCTATTATCCAAACGTCTAAACCAAAAACAGGATCGAATTATAAGGACCCATTCCTTATGTTATTTGTGAGTAGATATGTTTTTTTTTTTCCAGTCCAGTGTTTACCAAAGGTTCTGAGCACTGTTTGTCTTTACCATATGTACCCGCTTATATATTTAAAGTATGTTCTTAGTACAAGAAGGCTAAGTAAAAATCAAATATGTATTTTATACCAAAAAGGAAAAGATTTTCTGAGGTATAGTAGGAAGACTCCTACAGATTCTGTTCAGACTAGCAACTTTCATTTTATGAAATCTTAGAAGAATAATTTGTGTAAAATGTACCATCTGTTCCTTAAGCTGGTTATAGCCTGGGGTTTTACATTTTTGGTATTATCATATTGTCAGACGATATGCTACTCTAGCCTTACACTATTTTTTATATGTGGTCGGAGGTGTGCCTCTCAAACCCTCCTTGATGTTCTGCTCATATGTAAGGTGATGTGCAAAAATAAACATGTCCTCATCTGCCTGCTTTATCAAGGGAGACAGACATGATAAAAGGGTGTGTTGATGCCTTAAAACATCAGTTGACATATTTTTTTTGTTTGCACTTTTCCTTACACTATACAGTTTTACACTTTATAATGAAATCTCTTTATAATGGAACAACTGTTTTTTTTTTTTTTTAATTTTTGCTGGTGAGCTTTCTGTTTTTCTGAATAAGCTGTAAAGTGGTATCATGACTGGTTGGGTAACCTATTTTTGGGCTATAAAGTCATGGTGCTGGATGGATTGTACTGAAATGAAGCAGTTAAAACCCGGCAGGGGTTCTGATCCTATATTATTGTTTTTTACACTTCTCAAGAAGGTGAGACCACATACAGAAAGCCGAAACATTTTTCAGTAGTTCAGCAGTGACCTCTGTGCTGCATGAACAAAATCTGACATTAGAATATTCAGCAAGCATCCCTGGATAACTAATAATTTATTGATTTCAATTTTTCAGGTCAATCCACAAAACATTGAAAATGCATTTAACAAACTTAGAGACAGAGCAAACCAAGTGTCTGTGTGTCCTGTTAAAAAGAAGAATCACTGGGGAACTATACGAGGAATTGTCCAGTTTGGGAGAGGTATTGCCTTAATATGTCTTGTACTACATTGCTGTATTTATTTCCCGATATAAAGTTTCTTTACGATAAACACAAATAATTTGAGTTTGAAAACTAGGGTGGTTTCCATTAGCTTATTATTATTATTATTTTGTTTTAGTCATTGCATTAAATGCCATGTTAAAACTTTATGGAAAATTATCTGAAAAAGTCAAATGATTCTAGTGAAATAATATGTTGTGCTTATATTAGTTACCCAAAAATGATAGCCTTTACTTTGTATCTGTAGATAAAGAATGGGGGAGAATTACTAAAAGTGGTGCACTCAGAATCTGGTGCAGCTGTGCATGGTAGTCAATCAGCTTCTAACTTCGGCTTGTTCACTTAAGCTTTGGCAATAAAACCTGGAAGCTGACTGGTTTCTATGCAGAGCTGCACCAGATTTTTCACTTTCTAGTTTAGTAAATAACCTCCACTATCTTGTCTTGCTTTATTGCTGCGTATAGCGTGGCCTATTGGCTGACTTGGAACCATGTTCTACCTGTGTTCCCATTGCAAGTAAATTCTGAATTACAGTATTCTAACATCTAATTAGCATGGGAAGTTTGGGATGCAAACATCTGTACACATAATTGTTAACAAAAATAATCTATTTTTTCTACAGGTAAAATGTTGAGGGGGTTTATTCCAGTGTATCCGAAGAGCCTCTGGGTTGATATTAAAACATTTTGTAATGTACTCCCCTTTCATATAGTATTTGATGAAGAGGTAAGTGACACTTTAGTAAGTAAGTGACAAAATTAGCTATTTAGTTTTTTTACATTCAGTTAAACTCATTTCAAAACAGGATTTAACAACTGTTTTACCTTGGATGAACCAATGGCAAAATGTTTGAGCTCTCAGGGAACCCCTGAAATAATGTTCACATCTACAGTTCATGGAACATTGGTATGAACAATGAGCTGTTTATATAACAATTATTTTTAGAAATAGCATTGAAAATGGAATCAATATTAAAATGTACCTATCTAATGTGAAATTTGTGCAGTTTTTTTCTGCAGATATGAGCAATTCTGGGTCCTACTTGAGATAAACAGTGTATAGGGGCAGCAGGGTAGGGTACAGGGGGTCAGAAGGGCACAGTACATGGCAGAAAGGTACATTACATAGGGGGGGCAGCAGGGCACATTTCATGGGGGCAGCAGGGCAGATTACATGGGAGTAGGGCACATTATGTGGGGGAAGGGCACATTACGTGGGAACAGGGCACATTACATGAGGGCAGTATACATTATGTGGGAACAGGGCACTTTACATGGCACATTACATGGGAACAGGGCACATTACATGGAAGTAGGGCACATTACAAGGGGCAGGGTGCATTACATGAGAGCAGGGCACATTACATGAGGGCAGTATACATTATGTGGGAACAGGGCACTTTACATGGGAATAAGGCACATTACATGGGAACAGGGCACATTACATGGAAGTAGGGCACATTACAAGGGGCAGGGTGCATTACATGAGAGCAGGACACATTACGTGGGAGCATGGCACTTTACATGTAAGCAATGAATATTACATGGGAACAGGGCACATTGCATGGGACTAGAGCTCATTGCATGGGAGTAGGGCACAATACACGGGAGCAGGGCTCATTACATGGGATCAGGGCACATTACGTGGGATTTGGGTACATTACATGGGAGCAGGGCACTTTACATGAGAGGAGGACACATTACGTGGGAGCAGGGTACTTTACATGTAAGCAATACATATTATATGGGAGCAGGGCACATTACATTGGACCAGAGCTCATTGCATGAGGGCAGGGCACATTATATGGCAGCAGGGCACATCACACAGGAACAGGGCTCATTACATGGGATCAGGGCACATTATGTGGGGAAGGGCACATTACATGAGAGCATGATATATTACATGGGAGTAGGGCACTTGACATGGGAGCAGTGCACATTACATGGGAACAAGGCACAACATTATATGAGTTCAGGGCACATTACTTGAGAGCAGGGCAGCTTATATGGGAGCAGGGCATATTAAATGAGAGCAGGGCTCATTATGTGGGAGCAAGGCACATTACATAAGAAGATTAGGGCACATTGCATGAGGGCAGGGCATATTACATGGGAGCAGGGCACATTATGTGGGAGCAAGGCACATTACATAAGAAGATTAGGGCACATTGCATGAGGGCAGGGCACATTACATGGGAGCAGGGCACATTGCATGGGGGTAGGGCACATTACATGGGAGCAGGGCACTGCACATTACATGGGAGCAGGGCACATTACATGGGAGCAGGGCACTGCACATTACATGGGAGCAGGGCACATTACATGAGTGCAGGACACATTACATGGGAGCAGGGCACTGCACATTACATGGAGCAGGGCACATTACATGAGTGCAGGACACATTACATGAGAGAAGTGCATATTATATAAGGGCAGGGCACATTACATGTGAGCAGGGCACATTACATGGGAGCAGGGCACGTTATGTGGGGGCAGGGCATATTACATGGGAGCAGGGCACTCCACATTACATGAAAGAAGTGCATATTATATAAGGGCAGGGAACATTACATGGGAGCAGGGCACATAACGTGGAAGTAGGGCACATTACGTGGGGGCAGGGCACTGCACATTACATGGGAGCAGGGCACATTACATGAGTGCAGGACACATTACATGAGAGAAGTGCATATTATATAAGGGCAGGGAACATTACATGGGAGCAGAGCACACAGCATGGCACATTACAGTACCAATTTCCTTCATATGCAGGGCATGGCAGGGAAGCGGCTGTGATCAGTCCTCTTGTGGAGTTCTGTTTCCTGCTGGCCCCTCCTCCTCTTGTGACCATGCTAGGTGATGTGACATACAAGCACTTGTAATGGACAGGAGTGGAGGTGTCAGGGACCCTAGGCTTTACCGCGGCGCACGGGTCTGCGCATGCGCGGTATGCCGGGGCGCACTAGCATGCGGGAGTTAGGACCAGGGGCGCCTGCAATGGTGGTTGCGCATGCGCACTCGCGATCGTGCGCCTGGAACCAATGAGGGCGCAGGGCGCCCTATTTAAACAGGCTATGTCTATGCTCAAGTTGCCATATGGTCTTTAACTGTATCCTGTGTTTCCTGAGATTGCCTTGTTGCTGACCCTGCCTGACCCTGATTCACTGACTGTCTCCTGCTCTGATCCCTGGCTTGTCTGACCATTCTCCTGCCTAATCCTGCACGTTTGATCTCCCGTTACCAAACCCGGCCTGTGACCTGTTTATTCTTCTGCCTGCCGCTTGTACCGTCCTGCCTCCACCGTTACCGACCTGGCCTGTCTGACTTTGCTCACTCCACCTCCTCACATCAGGCTCTCACCTGCTATATACCACCGGCAAGTGCTTCTACCGCAGCTGGTTGCACCCAGGGGCCGCGACCTGGTTTGGGCCTGCTCCAAGTCCATCCCCACCAACAGGGGCCCTGGTAAACAAGCAGGTCGGGGCTTAGACTCCGCACCCTGGGGAATCACGGTCTGTGGAGCGCTAGCGGCTACCGCTGGTTGGTCCATAACAGGAGGAGGTACTTGTAAAACTATATCTATAACTAAATAAATGTGACATTCAAAGAAAAGGTCATAGAGTCCAATCAGATAATTCTTCCATAAATATAAGTGTTAACCATGTGAAACAATAACTATAAATAAATGAATGTGACATTCAGACAACAGTCCAAAAAAAACAATCAAATAGCGCTAGCAAAGCTGCTTCCCTGCCTAATGCTGCATGTGTTGGCAGTGAACATGCAATCTACCCACTGTTTGTGACTGATGGGTAGATCAGGGCAGAACCCTTGGGGTCCTCTTGTGGAAGCCTGGTTGAGAAACCCTGTTTTAGATGATTTTATTAGTTAGAATTAGACTCAGATTTATGTAGTGAATACAGTAGCATTACTGCTGTTTGTATTCAGTTGGAAGATTGCCTTTACTTCCATTCCTGGAGACACAACAGGAAGTCAGGCAATATATCTACTTGAAGACCAAGCATTTTCTGGGAAGTTTTTTTTTACAAGTTTAAATCCATATTTGTGGTTGGAAAATTACTTATAACCCCCAAACATTATTTACAGTATACATATTTTAGCAAAGGACCTTGGGAATGAAATGGCACATGGTATTTGCGCTGTGGTTTTTCAAATGCAATTTTTTTGGAAAAAAACCTACAGTATATACCCCAAGTGTTTTTGTAAAATATGAAAGAGGATGTTACGATGATTAAATAGATACCTAACATGTTACGCTTTAAAATTGTTTGTGCTTGTGAAATGGCGAAAAAACTATTGTACTTAAAACTCTCCAAAGGCAACATTTTAAACATGTTTACAGGTTACCTTTTTAGAGTTACAGAGGAGGTCTAGCACTAGAATTATTGATCTCGTTCTAATGTTTGTGGCGATATCTCACATGTGTGCTGCGAATATTGGATGCTCTGGTTTTAACAGTAAGCCTGAGAAACACTGGCAGTGGCAGAAGGGGGGGCGTTCCATCCCGTGGCTACAGAAAGGGATCCAAAGGCTGAAGACCCGCTAGGACTACTTTCAATAGAAAGCTGACTGTGGGCTGAAAAAAAATACCAGGGTTATGGCTGATTTCTTTAGCCATAACTCCGGTAAACCACTTGAAAACCGCAACGTTTTATAAGTATTGCAGTCTTCAAGTGGATATCTACTAGGTGAGAGAAAATCCTCTCCTAGAAAATTGTCACATGAACAGTCCCAATTGGAGGATTTTCTTTTCATCTGCTGTATAAGTGACACCAGTATAACTTTGAATTCTCCATTATTTTCTGTCCCAGGAACAATGGTGACTGTGACAAATAAAGGTAGTGAATGTCTCTCACAGAGATGCCGAAAGCAGTTAAAACCTTGCGGGTTTCAACATTTTCCCAAACTCTCCAAAATGAAAAAAAAAACAAGCACCCATTTTTTTTTTGCACCGCATATGCATATCATAAACAGATTCAACTTAAGTGTTATGAAACCTGTACATGGTCACCCTACCTGACAGAGGTGGTTATCTTTAGAACAGAATCCTTTTCAGCCGTTCCTATTAAGTGTGATAGGTGTTTCATGCATCCTACTCACTCTAATAACACTGAATTTTCTTCTTTTTTCTTTAAGCTGAGAGTGAAGCAGGCTGGGGTGAGCATACAGAGGATTGTTCCTGGTCTACAGACTATGGACATTCGGGTGGATGACTATTTCAGCACAGTACACCCTGAGGTCACGCTGACCATTACCAATGTTAGAAAGTTCATCAACAGTCAATTTGTGTTAAGAACAAAGAGAGAGATGATGCCAGAGTCGTGGAGGCAGCGCCCAATGTTGGAATTGAGAGGTATTCGTTTTCTTATAAAGATAAAATATAGCTATTAATGAGTGGATGCCAACACACATATACTGTACACTCCTTCCCAAAAGTGACCAAGCTTCATTCTGAAAGGTGACCTTAGAAAAGGTGCCTGTTTCATTCTATCTCCACAACAATTACTTAATGATTCTCATTTGAGTAGATGTATGAAAACGTTAGATCTTATATTCTACACTTTTCTATGCATTCATATATAGTATAATGTAAAGATAACATTGACAGGTTAAAATATAAGCATACAGTAAAATCATTGGTTACATGCATAGTTTATTTATGAGATGGTATCAAAAATTTAGAGACTAGTTTTGTAACGTGCCAACAGATGGCAGCACAAGGCTGCACACACACTTACAGGGAGCACTGACCTTCATAAATCAGTGTGCCAAAAGATATTGTTCTGTGTACATCGGGGGCTGTGCAACTGGTGTTCTGACCACGTGCATTACCACATCTGCTATTTCATCATGGACAGCAAGTTAGAACACAGGGCAAACATGAAATTCTGCATGAAACTGGGCAAATTGCTGGATCTCCACAATGTTGTCAAAACGGCGACCTTTGAGCTGGATCTTCATCTTTGGGATGAGTGCATTTTTGGAGTTGAGCTCGTTGAAGGTCTTCCTGATCTCTCTCATCATCTTTGAGTGATGTCCTTCCGCTTTTGAAGCGCATGTGCCACTCAATATCGCCGTAAACTTGCTGAATCATGTCAAAGGTCTTTATGGCAGATTTTCCCAGTTTAACGCAGAATTTCACATTTGCTCTTTGTTTTAACTTGCTGTCCATGATGTAATAGCAGACATGGTAACGCATGTGGTCAGAATAGCACCAGTTACAGTTGCAAGAAAAAGTATGTGAACCCCTTGGGATTACGTGGAGTTTTGCATAAATTGAGCATAAAATGTGCTCTGAATGTCATCTAAGTCACAACAATAGAAGAACACAGTCTGCTGAACATAATACTACACAAACATTAGATGTTGCCATGGTTTAATTGCACATAACCTGTAAACATTCACAGTGCAGGGAGGAAAAAGTATGTGAACCTTTGGACTTAATAACTGGTTGACCCTCCTTTGGCAGCAATAACCTCAACCAAACGTTTCCTGTAGTTGCAGATCAGACCTGCACAACGATCTGGAGTAATTTTGGACCACTCCTCTTCACAAAACTGTTTCAGTGTAGCAATATTCTTGGGATGTCTGGTGTGAATCGCTCTCTTAAGGTCATGCCCAGGGGCAGACTGACCATTTGGAAACTTGGGCACTGCTCGAGGGCCCGAGGTCAGTAGGGGGCCCCATGAGATGCCCCTGGTACCTTTTTCATAGGCTTTTTTGAGTTTGGGCAAGGACACAGGGGCCCCATGATCCCCTATTGCCTGGGGGCCCCATGAGTTGTCAGTCCACCCCTGGTCATGCCACAGCATTTCAATCGGGTTGAGGTCAGGACTCTGACTGGGCCACTCCAGAAGGCGTATTCTGTGCTGTTGCAGCCATTGTTTTGTTGAATTACTTGTATGCTTTGGGTCATTGTCCTGTTGCATCACCCATCCTCTGCGGAGCTTCAGTTGGCAGACAGATGGTTGTACGTTTTCCTGCAAAATGTCTTGATAAACTCTGGAATTAATTTTCCCATCAATGACAACAATCTGTCCAGGCCCAGAGGCAGCAAAGCAGCCCCAAGCCATGATGCTTCCTCCGCCATGTTTTACAGTTGGGGATGAGGTTTTGATGTTGGTGTGCTGTGCCTTTTTTTCTCCACACATAGTGTTGTGTGTTCTTCCCAAACAACTCAGTCTTGGTTTCATCTGTCCACAGTATATTTTGCCAGTAGTGCTGTGGAACATCCAGGTGCTCTTTTGAAAACTTCAAACGTGCTGCAATATTCTTTTTGGACAGCAATGGCTTCCTCCGTGGTGTCCTCCCATGTACTCCATTCTTGTTTAATGTTTTCCTTATTGTAGATGTGTCAACAAAAATGTTAGCATGTGCCAGAGATTTCTGTAGGTCTTTAGCTGACACTCTGGGACTCTTCTTTACCTCATGCAGCATTCTGCGCTGTGCTCTTGCAGTCATTTTTACAGGACAACCACGTCTAGGGAGAGTAGCAACAGTGCTAAACTTTCTCCATTTGTAGACAGTCTGTCTTACCGTGGACACATGAACATCAAGGCTTTTGGAAATACTTTTGTAACCCTTTCCAGCTTCATGCAAGTCAACAATTCTTGATCTTAGGTCTTCTGAGAGCTCTTTTCTGCGAGGCATGGTTCACATCAGACAGTGCTTCTTGAAACCAGTAAACCCAAAACAGGTGTGTGTTTTTTAAGGGCAAGACAGCTGTCAGCAACACATCCAATATCATCACCCTGATTGGAGTCAAGGTTGGCTCACTCCTGGCTCCAATTCAGCTCTGGGAGAAGTCATTAAGCTAGGGCCTCACATACTTTTTCCTCCCTGCACTGTGAATGTTTACATGTTATGTGCAATTAAACCATGGCAACATCTAATGTTTGTGTAGTATTATGTTCAGCAGACTGTGTTCTTCTATTGTTGTGACTTAGATGACGTTCAGAGCACATTTTATGCCCAATTCATGCAAAACTCCACGTAATCCCAAGGGGTTCACATACTTTTTCTTGCAACTGTACACAGCTTATAATGTACACAGGACGACATCTTTTGGCACACCAATTTATGAAGATCGGTGCTCCCTGTGCATGCAACCTTGTGCTGCCGACTGTTGACGTGTTACAAAACTAGTCTCAAAACGTTTTGATACCACCTTGTATGTGTTGCTGAGGCTTTACTGTTTAATCAGCGGGCTACAGGTGGGGAGGTGATACCACTATATTACTAAACTGTAACAGATAAAGTGCTGTCACTCTTCCCTGACTGTGATGTTGTGGCAGAGGTGAATTAATCACACAAGTGTGAAATCATTACAAACCTGTCATGTATCCCAACTGCATATTTAACTGTTTGCTCTGAGGCCAGCTTTAAGTTTGCTGCAGTAAGCTCAGAAAAGGGATGATTTTGATTGGTCTTTGCATTTCTTTTTTTCACTGATGCAGCAACTTTTTCATCAGAACCTCAAATGGGACCCTACAGTAAATGTTTAGGTTCTCCAGATTATCGCAAGTTGTATTTGATAGGGTATAACCTGAAACAAAGTTTTGGAGCTGCAACACAATAGCAAACCTTTACCTGAGTGTCCTTGAATATGATGTAATGGGGTTGATTCACTAAAACTGGAGAGTGCAAAATCTGGGGGCAGCTGTGTGGTTAGTTAACCACTTGCCAACCGCACTATAGCCGAATGAGTGCTACAGTGCGGTTGTCTAGTTCTGGGAGGGTGTCATAGGATGTCCTCCCAGAACATGTCCTCCTGCATGCCCCCAGCGGCATGCACCTGGCAATCTCTGTGATCGCTGTCTCCTATGGACACAGCTGATCATGTGATGAGGTAAAAGGCCAATCACAGCAGCCTTTTACCACATGATCAGCTGTGTCCAATGACACAGCAGGTCACTGAGTAAATACATTTATCAGTTATCGGCAGCACCTTCCTCAAGCTGTCACAGCGTGAGGAAAGTACTGCTGATAACCGGCAGCTGTCCCAGAGCAGATCAGCACAGATGATCAGTGTCCTGCAGTGCCACCCAGCAATGTCACCCACCAGTGCCCAGCAGTAACACTCACCAGTGCCCAGCAGTGCCACCCATCAATGCCTAGTAATGCCACCCATCAGTGCCCAGCAGTGCAGCCCAGCAGTGCCATCAGTCAGCGCCGCCCATCAGTGTCGCCCATCAGTGCAATCAGTGCCGTCTATCAGTGCCCATCACTGTTGCATATCAGTGCAGCATCATCAGGGGAGCCTATCAGTGCCCATCAGTGCTACCTATCCGTGCCACCTCATCAGTGCTGCCTATCAGTGCCCATCAGTGCTGCATATCAGTGCAGCCTCATCAATGCACACCTGTTTGCAAAATTTTATAATAAAAACAAAGAAAAACTTTTTTTTTCAAATGTTTTGTTCTTTTTTTTTGTTTATAGTGCAAAAAATAAAACACCCAGTGGCGATTAAATACCACCACCAAAAGTTTTGTGAAAGAAATGATACAAATTTCATATGGGTACAGTGTTGCATGACTGCACAATTGTCATTCAAAGTGCAAGAGTGCTGAATGCTGAAAATTAGCCTGGGCACGAAGGGGGTAAAAGTGCCCGGTAGGCAAGTGGTTAAATATTGACAAACACATCTGGAAGCTGATTTCTATGCAGAGCTGCACCAGATTTTACACTCTCCAATTTTAGTAAATCAACTGAGCCTTGGAGTCACTGTATCAGAAAGACTTAGTACCTTGGTTTAATCACATTTTCTATAACTTACAGGAAAGATGCATGTTGGTATGACAAGAGCTCTAAATTTTCAAAAAAGCTACCTTCAGTATACTGTGATCCTTACTACTACACAACAATGAATGGGACCCAATTTAAGCAACAAAGAATACATACAGTGGGGCAAAAAAGTATTTAGTCAGCCACCAATTGTGCAAGTTCTCCCACTTAAAAAGATGAGAGACACCTGTAATTGGCATCATAGGTAGACCTCAACTATGAGAGCCAAAATGAGAAAAAAAATCCAGACAATCACATTTGCTGATTTGGAAAGAATTTATTTGCAAATTATGGTGGAAAATATGTATTTGATCACCTACAAACAAGCAAGATTTCTGGCTCTCACAGACCTGTACCTTCTTCTTTAAGAGGCTCCTCTGTCCTGCACTCATTACCTGTATCACTGGCACCTGTTTGAACTTGTTATCAGTATAAAAGACACAACCTCAAACAGTCACAATCCAAACTCCACTATGGTGAAGACCAAAGAGCTGTCGAAGGACACCAGAAACAAAATTGTAGACCTGCACCAGGCTGGGAAGACTGAATCTGCAATAGGCAAGCAGCTTGGTGTGAACAAATCAACTGTGGGAGCAATAATTAGAAAATGGGAAGACATACAAAACCACTGATAATCTCCCTCGATCTGGGGCTCCACTTAAGATCTCACCCCGTGGGGTCAAAATGATCACAAGAACGGTGAGCAAAAATCCCAGGACCACACGGGGGGACCTAGTGAATGACCTGCAGAGAGCTGGGGCCAACGTAACAAAGGCTACCATCAGTAACACACTACGCCGCCAGGGACTCAGATCCTGCAGTGCCAGACGTGTCCCCCCTGCTTAAGCCAGTACATGTCCGGGCCCGTCTGAAGTTTTCTAGAGAGCATTTGGATGATCCAGAAGAGGATTGGGAGAATGTCATATGGTCAGATGAAACCAAAATAGAACTGTTTGGTAGAAACACAACTCGTCGTGTTTGGAGAGAGAGAATGCTGAGTTGCATCCAAAGAACACCATACCTACTGTGACGCATGGGGGTGACAACATCATGCTTTGGGGCTTTTTCTCCACAAAGGGACCAGGACGACTGATCCATGTACAGGACAGAATGAATGGGGTCATGTATTGTGAGATTTTGAGTGCAAACCTCCTTCCATCAGCAAGGGCATTGAAGATGAAACATGGCTGGGTCTTCCAACAAGACAATGATCCAGAACATACCGCCCGGGCAATGAAGGAGTGGCTTCGTAAGAAGCATTTCAAGGTCCTGGAGTGGCCTAGCCAGTCTCCAGATCTCAACCCCATAGAAAACCTTTGGAGGGAGTTGAAAGTTCGTGTTGCCCAGCGACAGCCCCAAAACATCACTGCTCTAGAGGAGATCTGCATGGAGGAATGGGCCAACATACCAGCAACAGTGTGTGCCAACCTTGTGAAGACTTACAGGAAACGTTTGACCTCTGTCATTGCCAACAAAGGATATATAACAAAGTATTGAGATGAACTTTTGATATTGACCAAATACTTATTTTCCACCATAATTTGCAAATAAATTCTTTCCAAATCAGCAAATGTGATTGTCTGGATTTTTTTTCTCATTTTGTCTCTCATAGTTGAGGTCTACCTATGATGCCAATTACAGGCCTCTCTCATCTTTTTAAGTGGGAGAACTTGCACAATTGGTGACTGACTAAATACTTTTTTGCCCCACTGTATAGCAAATTGGAGTGCCTTAAGCATATAATAAACCAGTGCATTAGTCATTGTATTCAATTGCATAACAAACATAAAAGAACAAAATATAAACCTATGTGGGAAATTCTAGTAGAAGTAGAGGGGACACCCTTGGCATTCCAGATTTAAAAGGTAGCAAAATACAAGCACACTAGATAGGCCTCATGCACACAGAATGGTTTAAAAACGCTGCTCCTTTTGGCAGCAGTGTTTTGGCAGAAAAAAATGCCTGATGCTTGTAAAAGTGTCTAACACTTTTACAAGCATTTAGGTGCATTTACAGGCATCAAGCGCTTGGGTATTAATTAATTTCATTGGCACAATAATAATTTATTCTGCCCATTGAAATTAATTAACACTCAAGCACTAAACGCGCCTAGCGTTAACACATGTTTTCTCTACCAAAATGCTGCTGCTCCTGGATGCACTGGTAGTGGGGGGGGGGTTTACAGCTTTTAAAAGACCCTGCCACTAAAAGCTTCTAAACGTCTATGTGTGCATGGGCACATAGGACAACATTGAGGGGTGTATGAAAGCTGTAAAAAAATGCCTGACGCCCCTAAAAGTGGCTGCAAAAATGCCCTTTTTTCCAAAGAGCATATAATTAAGTAGGGGGAACTAGATCATAAGAAAAGAATGGCATCCCAGGGACATCTTCCCAATTAATATACCAAAGAACAGAGGGAGATGACAGGGGACTTTGTCAACTGGGAGCTCATATGTAAACAAATACTCAGAAGTTCTATTAAAAACATATTTTTTATTATAAAGCAAGTTAGATGTACAATCATGGGTAGAAAAAAAATCACAATTCCTCAAAACCATAATTGTAACAGTTAAGAGAGGTGATCATAACTGTCTTTTGTCTACACGTTTCGTGGACAAAGTCACTTCTTGATTTACCAAAACTAGAGAGTGCAAAATCAGCTGTGCATGGTAGGCAACCAGCTTTTAACATCAGCTTTGACAAAAAAAATTGGAATCTGACTGGCTTCTATGTAGAGCTGCACCAGATTTTGCACGCTCCAGTTCTAGTATATAAATCCCATATTGTCTTACTTGACCATCAGCAAGAGTGATTGCTCTGAAAGGTAAACACAATGGGGTTTATTTACTAAAGCTGGAGAGTGCAAAATCAGACTCACTTCTGCATAGAAACCAATCAGCTTCCAGGTTTCATTGCCAAAGCTTCATTGAACAAGCTGAGGTTAGAAGCTGATTGGTTTCTATCCAGAAGGGAGTATGATTTTGCACTCTCCAGCTTTAGTAAATAAACCCCAATATGTCATCAGACGTATATACTAATGTATGTAATACAGTATTCAACATAAAATCAACATATAATTACCAATATTAATATAGACATAAATAAAAAAATGAATATTATTAAAATTAAATGTCCATAACACTAGGGAATAATGACAAAAAAAGGGCGGGGAGGGGAGAAGAGTCTTACCCAAGTCTATTTTTGGACATCATCATAGTATTGACAGTATTGGTTGTTTATACCCCTCTAAACAGTTTCTCCTAATTCCCCTAGTTATCCCCAAATATTTGCTAAATAATCCTGACAGTATACTTTTTTTCTTCAGGTCAGATGATATGGATGGAGTCTCTGGAATGCATGTTGTATTTGTGCTCTCCTCTATTACGTAATTTGCATGAACTGGAGGAGAGACAGATGCACATCTCGGATATAGCACCACATGATGTCACGCGGGACCTCATTTTGCTAAATCAACAGAGGCTGGCTGAGATGGAGTTATCTAACCAGCTTGAGAGGAAGAAGGAAGAATTGAGGATATTGTCCAAACACTTAGAAGAAGAAAAGAAGAAGACTGAAGCTCTTCTCTATGCCATGCTTCCAAAACACGTGGCCAACCAGCTAAAAGAGGGCAAGAGAGTGGAAGCTGGTAGGTATACCCGCTATTGTATAATTTAGAGCCTATAAATAGTATTCTTATAAATAATATTCTGATTTTATGTATCTAAAATACTCCACATGCAATATAATCACACTTAAAGGGAATTTATCAGCCAAACTGAAATCACACTAATAATATTATACTTTAAATGACATATTTTTACTGACTGTATTTACTGTTACTTTCTCAATCTGTTGCACAGCTTGATAAAGAGGCAGAGCAGCCTTGAAATGCATAGCCATGCCCCATTCATGCTCTCCAGTATCTGACGTCACACAGGACTTTCCTCCAGCTGTCTGACTGGCATACATGACTCCCTGAGCATCTCAGAGTCAATGAATGCACAGAGTCTCTGGACTGGATGGCTTCTGCTGATATGTGCCTTAGTGATCTGAGTTCATATGACAGGCACTTTACTCATTGTGTTTTTTACTAAAAAATTTAAATTGTACCGCACTTAGGTGTGCCCTCTGTTGTTTTTCTTATGACAAAAAGATTAGCAGCACTACTGGTGATGGGAGTAATCCGTTATCCTCTGCTTGCAGCTTTGGGCACTTCCACAGTTAGGCTCCATGTACACTGCAGCTGATAAACTCACGTTTAGGAGCTTTTCTGCGTTTTTTTCAGCAGCCCCTGAACTCACCCTAATGTTTTCCCATGTGTCCATGTACACTATGTTGTTTACAGTCATTTACAGGCAGTTGCGTTTACAGTCGTTTTTTTGAACACACCAAACTTGCGTTCAGGAGTAGATTTTATCAGTGTTTCAAACGCCAAATGCTTGCAAGTGTGTGTAAACGTGGCTAACCGCATTTGCGTTTGGAAATTTGAAACTCTTCCATTTCCAGATGCTGTTCAGAGCCTTTTTTCATCATGAAAAATGCATGCAAAGCGTTTTCCCGGTACTCAAATGGACCTGGTACACCATACTAAAGTATCTCATGAAAGCAAAGTTTTGCATGAAAGAAAATATGTTAGACACTGCTGCAATAATTTCTGCACAGAAATGAGCTGGAACACATCCAAACACCACAAAAGAAAACAAAAAGCAAAAAAAAGCTAACCTCAACAAATACTGCTCTCTCTGCTTCTGCTCTCTCTATTTCTCTAAAAATGCCTGAAATAGATAATTTTTCACTGTTTTTCAGTGCAGTCTGAGCATTTTGGAAGGTCTCCTGAGGTTATCTTAAAAAATGCTTCTAAACGCAAACACTCATAAACGCGGTATGTAAACGTGGCTAAACAGACGTTTTTTAACCTACGTTTTCCAGCAGTCAGTTTCCATCATTCAGAAGTGTTTTCCAAACGTCCTGTGTACATGGAGCCTCAGTCTGCAAAGGGTCTGTCCAGCTATAGGATTTAATGTGGTGCTTCACTAATATAATTTATTCAGAAGCTAATGGAGTTCAATACTTGCTGTGTGCTTGCTTATATATTTTGGATTGTTTATCTACCCTTACAAATAATATTTTATTAAAGATGTTGCATCTGATTTATTGGTTAGTGGTATAAATGAGTTCTTGAAAGATTCACAGTTAGACGTATCATCCTTATTTCTTGCACGGACATGTTTCTGTTATTGCTACTGTTTCTATTATGCCTGGAAGCTGGTTCTAGTAATTATGTGTGAAATTTCTAATACTTGGCTTTAAATGAATCTAGGAAGTAATGTGTGGAGTAGTTATGTTGAATATTTGGCCAGCCAGTGATAGGCTTGGCCTTTGTATGTAAAAATGAGGGCCTTTTAGGCCCCATTTGCATCTGATAGTAGCAGCAATGTGGGCAGAAAAGCACTTTTCTGACTGGGTTTTCACAAACATTCAAAAATGATGCTAAAATGCATGATGCGCTTACGGTGCCATTATTTCCTAATGGCACCCCGACCGCAGGTGGAATTCTCACATTTGTGTGATATATTTTTCCACACACAAAAACATGCATCACCAGATATGCTTGGCTTAGTGCCAAAATTTGGTCTTTGAGCTTCTTTGGCCTGTTTTTAATGCAACAAGCAGCCCATTCAAGTCAATGGGCTGTTGCGCCAATAATGCATTAAAACACAACAGTACTCCCAGGGCTGTAGATAATTTTTTTTTTCCTGGGGGGGTTCAGCCTTGGGCACTCAGAGGACAATAATTAGTGCACCTGGCAAAATTGCGCTAACAGTGAGAGGGGTGATCAATCTCTCCTATTCTGTCCTAACCAAGCAAGAAATAGTCAGCAATCCTCTGGGTCTCTCTCTCAAACCTGGCATGGCATGATTTCAAAGCCGCTGATCAGTGCGATTTCATGTGCGGATTTCCAGACATCTGTTCAAGTTCATGCCCAGATGTCTATGCAAGTCGCACATGAAGTTGACAAAATTAGTACAGGAACCTTTTTCAAAATCAGTGCCGCACTGCAAAGTCGGAGTTGCACCGATCTGAACATTTCCATAGGCACAAATAGGGTGCGACTTGTTATTTGATTTTGAACTGTCAAATCGCATTGCTATGAATGGGGGCTCACATTCTTCATGCCTCACCTGGTTTTGTACACAGCACTCTCTGCTGCAGTTCTCTCTCCCAACACAACGTCTCCTGTACTGCAGGCCGATTGCTCGCCAGTCTCTTCTGGCTCTCTCTGTAGGCTCCCACCAGCATTCTGTCCCACCTGTGGGTCCTATGAATAACCTCTATTTTCTCAAACTTCCCCCCCAGCGCTTTCTTCTTGCCAGTGAACAGTGCCAAATCAGGCTGCCAATGCAGTGAATCAGAGTTCTCCTCTCCCTCTGCAGTGTCCTATCAGCAGGACTGCCATTAGAAATCATGAGACCTTGTACAGACTACCTGCCAGGACCCCCTCTTGGGCACGCAGAGGAGGATTATGAGGGATCATGCAGGTGTGGCAAAACTGAGTTAACAGTAGAAGGGGCTTAAAACGTAAGCCTATGTACAGGGATCAGAAGTATGTATGCACAGAGTACAGATGTGAGGTGTATGTAATGTACAGAGTGAGCTGAGCCCCAGTTTTACTGCCCCCTGGCCACTGAGCTAAGGTCTAAATTACAGCTGAGGGAGGCTGTTCACATGCCATGGCTGCAAGAAGTGTAACATGGCATGTTGACTATCAAACCATCGAAGTCAATGGGGCTGCACTGCAACTGCAAGCCATACACCATTATACTGTATACTGCCATTTGTTAAAAAAAAAAAACAGGCATTCAAGGGGTGACAGGATCACCTCCTGAACACCAGCCAGCAGCCACTTAACCACACTCTGAAAAGCGATCCGCTGTGGGAGCTAGAAGTGCTTGTTCCCTCCTTTAATAACAGTCATTGTAATGCCACCCATATTCCTGTCCTTTCAACAGGGTGACAGTAAGCGAACACCTATGCTGCACAATTTACTTTATTCACCCTGTTAAAAAGGACAGGAATATAAGTGGCATTACAATGGCTGTTTTTAAAGGGGGGCACAGGCATTTCTAACAGCTCCCTGTGTTTCCTGTATTTCTATTTGGACAAACACTTTGGTGCTCACTTCTCCCTCACCTTGAGGATCTTCACTGCAGAGTTCAGGTTCATGAGAGCAGACTTCTCCCTTATCAGAGCCGCTACTCAAATTAGGCTGCTAATGCACTGAATTCTCTTCAGGAAGCCCGTGGGATTTACTTGCACTCAGGGCCGGTACAAGGATCTTTGTCTTACACAGGTGAAGGTGCATCTTACCACCCCCCCTCCCCGCTGGCACCCTAAGGTGGCTGCCGAAGAAACCTTTTGCTGGCGTCGGCTCTGGATCTGAACACAGATTGCTCTTCAAAGACCAAAGCACATGTGCACGAGCCCTCAAAATGTGGAATGAGTGAAGATGAAAGTATTCATTCACATGGTAGCTGAGCCCCATACAGCGTGAAGAACTGTTGGGTCACATTTCTTTCCCAGCACTGAGCTGTGTGCAGGCTGTCCATGTAAGTAAATGGCAATGCAGCAGCTGCACGGATAGATATGTACCTCTGAATGCAGGCTGCATGTACCCATCCCTTCCAAACTCAGTACAGGCGCGTCCAAACAACCGCTGTGTCTCCATGCATGCAGCTCAGCGCTGCACCAAAAAACATCAACGTCTCTTCATTCTGTACAGGGCTCAGCACCCATGTGGAGGCTTGTTCACACCAGGTGCAGTGTGGGAAAATGCTTGTAAAATTGCACATTTTCTTGCACCGCACAAAAAAACACTGCCTTTTGCAGATGTGTATGGGTGCCATTAATAGACACTTCCACATATGTAACAAATGCACGTGTATTGGTGCCTGCCAGAATGCATGGAAACACTACACCATGCAGTTTGGTGTGTTATGATTTTAAAAATCGTGTCTCCAATTGTGTGAATCAAATGCACATGGCAGTCCATTGATAGTAAAGGGCTTCTCTAAAATGCAACATGTAGGAATGGCCAAAAAAGCACACGCTCTTTGACACACTTCATAGTGTGAGCAAGCCCTCAGTGAAGCCAAAAGGGTACATGAGCTTCTGCCATGCATAGGGCTTCTTATTGAAATGCACAGGTTGCCCTTCTGGCAAAGTGCAGAAAAAAAAGTGCAACTGCAATGCAGCACTACATATAGATGTTCTCATAGGGTATCAGAGCCCCATATAAAAAATTAGGAACCCCAAATTTAGCAAAGGACAGCAAAGCATACAAACCTGATCAGGGATGAGTTGTAGCGATGAGTTGTATGCTATCTACACAGAGATCAGAGGGGACCCCCACGTATGATCATGTGGTACAGACTACATAGGTGGGTGCATACAATCAGAGCTTACACAGGGGCGACCCTCATTAGTACACATTACACAGTGGTGACCCCCAATTCCAAAAGTTACAGATTGTACTGGGAGGACTCAGACATGTACACAGATCAGAGAGGACCACCAGCTCACACTTACCGCAAGGTGGTGGATTTGCATCAGCAAGTGACAACCAGCAGGGGGAGGGAGTGTAGTCTC